CCGCGAAGTGGTTTGGCATGTGTGGTGTCACTCTTTACTCTCTTACTTTGTCTATTTTCCGCGCCGCCGAGGGGGCGGGCCCCCCCCACCCCCCCCCCCCCCCCCCCCCGCGCGAAAAACACCGCGGTGGGCGCTGGGCTCCCCCGGGGGGTGGGATGGGGGGGGGGGGGGGGGGGGGTTGATCAATTAAGTTTTATGTGGGGAGGCTCCGCCCGGAGGTCTGTCCAACCCCTTATCCTCTTACATACCATTTTTGGCGGAAAAGGTACCCCTTTCCTACGCCTTCTTTTGACAAATGATACCCCTTTCTTATGACTAATTTAGAATTTTGCATCCCTTTTAACCAGTGTAAAGGCACTGCATTTAAAATATGAATAAATCACAAAACCAGAACGTTTTCTCGACTTTTTCACAGCCTTAAAATAAATCTGTGAGCCCTTTTGGGCCTTTTTACGTAGCGAAATAACTGATTACCCTACACTTTCATATACTTCAACCAGTAAAATCCCTTCCCTATCATATACCTGAGGTACCCCTTTCAGGGGGAGCCTCCCCGTATAGGCCATTGTACTGATTATCCCCCCCCCCCACCCCCGAGAGGTAAATAGTGAGGTAATAGGAAGATACCGCTTAGTGATAGGTGCACAGTCTATTTAAAATTAGTTGATACCGACAAAAGTGGAGTCCTGGCGAGTAAAACAAACCACCGGATGTTACGTTTTTACTTATAGTGGAGAGTTACATATCCGCAGTACAGTTGTTCATACTATACCGTATAACACGAAAAACAATCCGCTATAGCGTGTATATAGTCTTGTATTCCGCCCTTTTTGGTTTATTGCTGTTTTAGATTTTATAGGTAAATGTAGGGAGACACCTTTCTAAAGTTCTTCGGAAATTGCCCTGAAAATTCAGTCGAGCCACCTTGAGAGTCCATTTTAATTTCTCGCTGGATTCGTATTGTACCGTTGAACACCGATATAATGAGTCGTTTTATATCGAACAGCTCCTTAATGCGGCAACGAATGAGATTTTTTACTGCAGTTGTCACCGGACACCAATACAACATTTCGTATTATGCTAATAATGAAAATAAAAAATACATGCACAAAAACACAGGTTAGCATTAAGGAAGAAAGTCATTACCAAACAGGGAGAAATTAATTGGTAACTGTTATTACACAGGAAATCCAGATGTTTATGCAGGAAGTTGTAATAATGCAATTGTCAAAATACTAATAGAAGAAGTCCATTGCGAAGCAAATTTCAACATCTACTTAATAGTTTTGGCTGTAGCCGATATGGCTATATACGTTTAGACCACTTTCTGTTACCCTTCATATCACCTGTAACATAGCGGCTAACTGAGAAGCNCCACCGGATGTTATGTTTTGACTTATAGTGGAGAGTTGCATATCCGCAGTACAGGTGTTCATACTATACCGTATAACACGAAAAACAATCCACTATAGCGTGTATATAGACTTAGTATTCCGCCCTTTTTGGTTTATTGCTGTTTTAGATTTAAAGGTAAATGATACACATGTAGGTAGACACCTTTCTAAAGTGCTTCGGAAATTGCCCTGAAAATTCAGTCGAGCCACCTTGAGAGTCCATTTTCTCGGTGGACTCTTATTGTACCGTTGAACACCGATGATAATGAGTTGTGTTATATCGAACAGCTCCTTTATGCGACAACGAATGAGATTTTTTTTACTTCAGTTGTCACAGGAACTCAATACAGCATTTCCTATTATGCTAATAATGAAAATAAAAAATATATTCACAAAAAAAAAGTTCGCATTAAGGAAGAAAGTCATTAGCAAACGGGGAGAAATTAATTGGTAAATATTATTACCCAGGAAATCCAGATGTTTATGTAGGAAGTTGTAATAATGCAATTGTCAAAATACTAATACAAGAAGTCCATTGCGAAGCAAATTTCAACATCTACTTAATAGTTTTGGCTGTAGCCGATATGGCTATATACGTTTAGACCACTTTCTGTTACCCTTCATATCACCTGTAACATAGCGGCTAACTGAGAAGCGTTTCCTGGCGTTTGTGTCTCAATTAGTTCTTTAGCGAGCAACAAAGTCAACATGTCAACCTGAACTACTACTCAATAATTTGTTGTAGTTGAAATGACAGCATATCTCCTTCACTGTGGTTTGTTAACCTCCAATTTGCGTGTACCCCTATTTTACGATAACCATCGTCAAAGTACATGTAACATCTTATTTTCTATTAATGTTTTTGGATAGTTCTTTAGCGAGCAGTAAAGTTAACCTGTCTTAAAAATGTTAGGAATCGGCGTAATTGATACGTTTGATGCAACGACAGGTTAATTTGTAGTTAAGTATTTTTAAATTTAACTTGGCAGTTTCTGTCTAGGTCTATAACAAACTGAATAAATTTGCTATTTCGTTGAAAAGCTGCTTTGTCCGAGGAAGTTCATCTTGTTCAGCTATGCAGCTGCAGAAACCTAACGTTAACTCAAATCGACGTTTATTTTCCATAAAGATGTCTAAAAAATGTTATGGGAGTAACTGATACGTTTCATGCAACAGCACGTGAATTTGGAGTCTAAGTCTACTTTTTAATTTAACTTTCCAGTTTCTGTCAAGATCTATCACAAGTGAATTAACTATTTCGTTCACAATCTGTTTTGTCCGAGGAAGTTCATCCGCCTTCTGTAGCCTTACAGCTGAAGAAACTGAACGTTAACTCAAATCGACGTTTCTTTTTCATAAAGCTAAATCGGGGGCTTTCAACACCAATTGCAAGCAATACGAATGAGACATTTGTAGTTACGAAGATGCCGCCCGGAGTTCACATATTTCTCGGCATATCCTTAAACATTTTTCTTTCCATCTAACTGAAATCGGCGTTTCCTTTGCATAAAGCTTGATCGGGGTTTTCAAAACTAATGGCAGACAACACTAATGCAGCATCTGCAATAGCGAAGATACCACCCGGAGTATGGATATATTTTCTTACAGCCCTGAACATTTTTCTTTCCATCTTTGCAACTCTGGGCAATGTTCTAATCCTGGCTGCTCTGCGAAAAGTACCCTCCATTCGTCCACCGACGAAGCTGTGATTTCGATGTTTGGCTGTTACTGATCTTTGTGTTGGTCTTCTTGGTGAACCACTTTACGTTTACGTTAGGTACATTACAATCTCTCTTGATATTGGTAACTACATCGTAGAACTAGTTTACGTATTTGTGTTTATCATTAACGTGTTGGTTGCGGTATCCATCCTAACATTGGCTGCCATTAGTGTTGACAGACTTCTCGCTCTCTTATTGGGGCTGAGATACAGACACGTTGTAACTTTATGTCGAGTTCGTGTGCTCATAGCTTGTGTTTGGTTCATTGCTGTTATACACGCTTCTTTGTTCTGCGTGGCTTCGATCCTATTTCATACCTGGTGGTGGACCTTCCGAGCTTTAGCCATTTTTTCTATAATAGTCTCAACATTTTCGTACACGAAGATTTTTCTCAGCCTCCGTCATCAACAAGCCCAAGTGCAAAATCATGTTCAGCCAGAACAGTCAAGCGGAGTAAGAAGTGTACTGAACATAGCACGATACAAGAAGACAGTGTATAGCGTAGCTTGGATACAGTTTGCTATGCTTGCTTGTTATTGTCCTTACATCGTGATGTCATTTGTTGTGGAGTTTAGAAATGTAGGTTATTCCACTGAAGTAATGATTGCGGGTGAATTTTTCCTTTGTCTCTTTTTAAATTCATCTCTGAATCCTGTCCTTTACTGTTGGAGAATCAAAGATGTCAGACAGGAAGTGAAAAACACCATTCGTCAGTGTCTTTGCTGTTGAGTTAACCTACAGTGAGAAACGATGCAACAGAACAATGGAGACAGCTGCCTTGTCACGAGCAGTGCCGCTATGTCCTACAGTGGTAGGACACATTTTGTTCATCGGATCAGTTATCCCTATACTTTGATCGTTTTTTGTCTAAATAGAGTAATAAAAGATGTTTGACGATGTTAAGACGGCTAAAAAGAGCGGTCGATTTTGGGTGTGGCCATATCGGATTTTTTTCAAGGGGTTAATCCATTTTTTTGAGTCAAAATATGAAAGTTTCTTTTGTGCCTGTTTAGATAGAGGAAGAAAAGATGTTTTCCATTGTTAAAAACTGCTAAAAAGGCCGAAGAAACCCTTTACAACGAGCTATAGTCGGTCTATAGTCGCCGGGAAAATCATGAATGCCCGCTGTCTTTAATAGTCCACATTAATATTCACAGTTTATGTATGTTGTATGCTAGCGTAACTATAAACCCCCTGCACCTTAATTGTTAGATTGATTTCTCTGTTACAGAGGAGAGAAAAAAGTAGATATTTTGGAAAATTGGTAAAGTAGCTTAGTACTCGTTTAGAAAGAATGCTATACTGTATTTGGTAAGTTAACAGATCCGTAAGTGACAAAAGTGAAGCGCTCTCGTATGGCCAAGATCTCCCTCAGAAAAACTTTCTGTTTACACAAAGACAATTAACATTTAGGCAGGTAATTATGAATGCAGTGATGAGAAAACCAAAACTGTTAATAACGATTTCCATTTCAGTAAAGCAAGGACTTAGCGAGGAAAAATGAAAGTTCTTTTGTATAGTGAAAACACTGAGGTTTTAAACTGTTTTGTTGTTTTAACATTTAACCCATTTACCTTTAGTGGCGCAGAACGCCTCTTTCCGTATATCATTGCGAACACTATAGCTTACTGAACCAGAAGTGTAAGTTGAAACTTAAATGAGCTGTGTCACAACATTTACTCAAAATTTCAAGGGTGAGAACTGCTACCAAATTGAATAAAACATAGAAGGTATAAATAAGGAGGAACAGATGGACAAACTTAAAGAAGAGGGAAACGGATTGCAGTTGTGGTTTTTGAAACTTGTAACTTTTTAATATAGTACTTGGGAGACAAAATTTGTCTGACATCAAACTGTGTTTTGGTCATTCATAAGGAATTTTCCAAGTTTCAGAGCGAACAGGGACGCGTACTAAACCAGACTGCCGTGACGCACCTCCTTTAATATACTGTGGCAATTTTTTGATGTCTTTCAAATTGCTAGTTTAGTATAAGCAATGCTTGAATATAATAAATGATATTATTATTCATTCAAAATATTTCCCCGATTCTGATTGGCTAAAAGCACACGCATAACTCACCATAATTGATAGATACATTAGTCCTGTTTATTCCTTATACAACTGCATGATATTCAGTTTGGACCGGTTAAACAGTCGTCAGTGGTAGACACTACACTTATAACACTTGTGTGTTTTCTTTAAACAACAATTTCAATTGTATTTCAACATTTAAAAGGAAAACTTCCCGAAAATAGCAGGGCTAATGTAGGCGTTTTCTCAGAAGAAAAAAAATGACTTTCTGTTGACTAGATGTAAAACTCTCGGCTTAAGACACTTCAGTGTTGTACAAAGTATATATAAAGTCGAGTCAATTGTAACAAATATCTTATTTAGCGCCTTAGGACTCTTCAGTTTAATGTTGTGGTACGAAAAATATGTGCCCTGGTAGAAAATAACGTCAGCACAGAGCTTTGGGCATTTATTTATGTAAGGGATTCGAGAAGAACTAAGCAATTGTAATAAGCTGTTTGCTAATTTGCTTTAAAGAAACAAACACTGTATGTTAAAACTGTGAAACGCAGTTTGAATTATTCTTCTTATGAGGTGTTGGTTATTAAACCCCTGAATGGGAAGTACATGCCTTTCGCTTTTTATTTGTTAGCGAAAACCTGAAGCGTGGTTAATTGATTCAAATAAAGGCTTTGAAAACGATCGTCTTGTAATTTTAGTTAGCTTTATTAAGCTTATCGTTATTGGAAGTGAAATCGGATGAAAACGAAAAGAGACGACGCGTCGACGCACTGAGCGCCTGAATTTTAAAACCAAAGAATAAGATTTAGATGTGACATTGTAAGGCAAATAAAAATTATTGGAGTACGTTTGGACGAACGATGAAAAGTGTAGTAAACAATTCCCAGCAGGTGAAAAAATAAATAAATTAATATTCAACATATAAACCCGTTGCACCTTAACCGCCAAATTAATTTCTCTGTTGCGAAAGAAAAAAAAAGAAGTAAACATTTTAAGAACATTGGCAACGTAGCTGACATGTGCTCGTTTAGAAATAACGCTATATTTCGTAGGTGAACATGTCTAGAGTTAAATGAGCGTCCCTAGATGACCAAGTTATCTCTTGAAAAATTTTTTGACTTACACAAGGGCTATTGATCTTTAGCAGGTAAATGTTATGAGAATATGATAAATGATAATGACGATTTGCGTTTAAAACCAGGTGTTTCCGAGGAAAAAGAAAAGTGCGTGGCTTCGTAAAGCGAAAATGGGCTTCTGGCCGTTTTTAACATATAACACAGCTTCGTCAAAATGAATACGAACTGCTACGAAGTTTACTTTAGTGGTAGAGAACTCTTCTTTCTTGTGTCATGCTGAATATTGCAGCATCGAAAAGAAGGAAGTTGAAAGTTTAAATCACCTAAGGTGTAGAAGTAGGCTTTCGTCGGTGTCACGATTGTGGAGCAGTTACACACAAAAACGCGGAGACGGTGGCAACCAATTTCTATTCCCCTTCTTTAATAGGAGAACGAAGATGAAGATTAATTAATTTCCATTCCTTACAAATCGCTGTGAATTTGACTCTTTTTGTCATTGTTTTTTTTAAAACGGTATCTCTCTTGTGTTTTTATTGCTAGCAATTATTAGTCACGTGTTTTAATTGATCCTTGTTAATTTATTTAAAATTGTTTATATACTAATACGTCAAGGTGCTCCCTTGGGTTTTTCCTGTAGAGCTAATTTGTATTCAACTTTGGGCTTGCGAACTCGCATAATTAACTGATCAACGGTGCGTGAAATGACAAGACTTTAATAGTTTTTCATTTCCTCGAGATAGAACGGAGAAAACGTCAGACAAAATTGAAATAGAGAGTTTTCAGCTCCACTTCACCTCGCATTGCTAGGTGATCGCTTCTCTTATTCCTATTTTTGCATTTTAATAGACGTTCAAACCGGCTCAAGTTACTTACCGGGCAAGCCTATTGTTTCTATTGAATAAGGGAGACGCTCATTAGTAAACCTATACTGAATTAGTATGCGGGAAGGAATGTGAATATAAATGATGTACCTATACCTATACGTGTATACCGATACCTATACCGAATTATTATGCAGGAAGGTATGTGAATATTAATGATTTACCTATACCTATACGTATACCTTAACACTAACAGGGCTAATCTTTGCTGAAGCATGACCACTAACGCACACAAAATATCGAGAATTCTTCCCGACTTTATTTATAAAAACAACCGATTTTCAGCTTGTTTTTAATTTTGGGCAGACGCGTACAATTACCATATTTAGAGAGCACGGTATAATGGCTCATATACCAGGATGGCTAAACCAATAAGAGCTCTAGAATTGCATTATCAAATGATTCAGTTTTTAATAAAGCAAGATATACTCATCTTAAATGGTATAAGAATTATATTCGTAACAGGTGTGCCCTAATGTTGCCCACACGTCTTTGACTTTTATTTATTTTAACTGGCCTGTCTGTCTGTGTAGATTTATATTGACAATGTAACTAGCAGAGACCTCCAAACGTTGTTTTGGTCGGGTAAAGTTCAGTTCTTTTGCTGCAGAAGAAGGCGATCTTTACTTAAGTCGATGTTCCTTTTCCCGGAAAGAACTAAATAGGTGACTTCAAGAACTCCGCCAGTGGCAAACGGCACGAATGCAGCAGCAGATAAACCTATTTCTTGCTGTCTTGAATATTTTTCTCTCCTTCTGTGCAACTCTGGGCAATGCTCTTATCCTGGTTGCTCTTCGTAAAGTGTCTTCCATCCACCCGCCAACGAAATCGTTAGTTCAGTGTTTAAACATCACCGATTTCTTTATTGGCCTTATTTGCCAACCGCTCTTCGCTATCCACTTACTTCATCATCATAGCGTTCTGGACTTTAAGTTCGCGCATTTGCACAATGAATTTTCTCTTTTTATCCTGTTGTTTGAAGTATCATTCCTAACATCTGCCGCCATCAGCGTGGACAGACTGTCGGCTCTTTTGCTGGGACCGAGGTACAGACACGTTGTTACTTTATTCCGAGTTCGTGCGATCATAGCCTGTTTTTGGTTTATTGCTGTATTGAACGGTACTTTGTTCTTCGTAAGAGTTAAATTTTTCTTTGATATGAACGCTAATGTTGGCCTTTTCTGGACATCCTTTGGTTTAGTAATACTTTCTGTTATGATATCAACGCTTTCTTACCTAAAGATTTTCTTCACTCTCCGTCGTCGGCACGGTCAAGTGCAAGAACATGTACAACCGGGAGAGAGAAGAAATCCACTGAACTTAGCACGATATAAGAAGACAGTGACTAGAACAGTTTGGGGTCACTTGGCATTACTGGCTTGTTATGGTCCTTACACTGTATTGGCTATGCTACTGTGGCATGGAATTGTAAGCTACACGCCTGGGGTACTTGTCACACTCGATTTTTTTATTAGCCTACTATTTTTAAATTCATCTCTTAATCCAGTCCTTTTTTGTTGGAGGATCAGGGAGGTGCGAATGGAGGTAAAGAAGATCATTCGAAAGTGTTTCTGCCTTTAAATGTGATGTAGACAACGTTAAAAGTTATAACTGAACAATGAAGACAAATCAGTATCATCATCGTTGTCATCATCATCATCGTCGTCGTCGTCATCGTCATCATCATCGTCATCGTCATCATCATCATCATCATCATCATCATCAACATCATCATCATCATCATCATCATCATCATCAACATCATCATCATCATCATCATCATCATCATTATTATCATTTGGTTGGGATGCTTTGAACAGTTATCTTATTCCATGCATCCTGTCCGACATCGCGTTCGCAACATCCTCTCTGTCAATTCTGGAATTCGTCGAAATCGAGTCCGATCTGAAGACACATAGAGCTTCCATTAACACAGTTGGTGAAACATTGACGAGCAAGTGCAAACCACTGTACAGTTAAAATATTGTGGACTTTTTAATGAGATACCAGAGAAGCTTAGGACTAAAACCTGACATGCTTCGAAAAACACTGCTTAGAGAATAAGAATAGGGACTTTGATGATCCGTACCGTCCACATTGTACTTGGGCGCAACATCTTTCATCGCCGTTTCTCACCATAGTTAACTGCATAAGTAATTGTTACTTTCTTGGAAAGTGTTTTTTTTTCTTTTGCACAAGTGTATGTAAGTATTTTTGTTTTAACTAGCTCATATGGCTCATTTGTTCCCTTCTATTGTCCTTGCCCACTGCTCTCTTTCTTGATTGTGTATGCAGTAAAAAGTGAATTAAATTTAATAAACGTAAACATGATTATTCAAGAAAATAAAATAAAAAAGAGACTTTTTTTGAAAGATTTTGGTGCTTTAAGATGTCGGTCGAGGGCGGCTCTGATCGACAACAAGCTGGTTTTCTTATAATAGCTGCCGTCAGTTTTCCTCACGGAAACGTAAAATTTTGCCAGCAATTTAATTAATTCATGGACTCCCATGTTTTCTATTTCATTTGTGAACTCTTTCGGCTGTTGAAACCAATCTGTAGAACAAAATATTTCGCAAACGTTAATAAAAGTCGCCGACACTTTGAAGCAAAAAAATGTAAACAAACGTACCAGTTTTCAGTAAATTGTGTTACTTGCAAAAGAGAAATATTTTCAACCTACCTTTGAATAGCTTGACTCCAAATTTTGTAGCATCTTTTGTTTTTTGAGGAACTGCATTTTCTTTAAATATATCAATTTCCGACTCCGAAACATCAACAAATCTGACTGCCATTTTGAAAACTGCTAGCCCTCAATGTTATGATCACCGCGCGGTTATTATAGTGGGATGAAGCGAAGCTCCTAGCCAATGATAGCGCTTAATTTTCGATGATCATCATGAATGTAAGTTTACTAAAAGAGATTATTAGTATGTAGAATCGATCGAGAAAGATGAATAAGTTTCGGTTCCTTCTTGTAGGAATAGTATTTATGACGTTCCAATCACGTCTAGTTTAGTTTCTTTATCTTTCAAATCGGCACTCTAAATCCTCATGGTATCAGTGAAAGCTTGATTCTCACGCAGCTAGAATATTGATGATTTAACTCCTTACTATTTGTCTTCACTCCCTGTCAAATATCAACCGGCACGTTTACACCGCTCATCTAATTGATGGCGTTTACAAGTTCCTTCTGTTTATACAGTGACTTAGAAACACCGCTCATTTTCACATTATGCGCCGAAACTCTGGAACAGTTTACCTAATCATATCAAATACTCTGAATCTTTTTCCACTTTTAAGCAACGGTTAAAAACTTTTCTTTTTACCACTCGATTAATAACCCCCACATCCCGCAATCCTCTGATTCACTCCGAAGAAGGTTAACGCTTAGCGTTAGAAGCTCTTTATGGTGGAAAATATTTTTTATCTTTAAGTCAGTCGATAAAACACAGACAGCTAGAAACTTGAACTAAGAGAGTAATAAAAAGAAAGTATAACAAACTTGTTGAACGGTTCTCATATCAGGCAATAATACTTTCTTTTAAACAGTCGCTCATATTATACTTGGTTCGTCGTCCAAATACTCAGTAATAAGTTTATCTGCGAGCAGCTTAAGTCAACATTCCGTCCAAATTGTGTCATTTCTTACAATAATATTTGATATATTGCGATTAGGCGAATTGAACGTAATAAATGTCTAATGGCGACGTTTTATGCAACCCTCAGCAAGTTGCTTTGGAACCAACGAAGAGGACGATTTCGTAATACATAGTCGAGACTTTATTGAACTTAAGTTTATGTCCAGTTACCTTTACACAACAAATTAGAATGATGAAACGTAACACTGACATGCATCAGTTTAATTAACATTTGTCTGTATATTTGTGAAGCTTCAATATTAGCTGGTATTGAAATCCGAAAGTAGTTTTTTCAATTAAAGTCCCCAGAGTTTTGCAGCTGTATTTCAATCGACTTGACGGTTCTTTTTCAAGTAAGGCCTGAATCGATAGCTTTGTCGACAAATGGCAAACAGCGCAAACGAAACTTTCATAATCATACAGATACCAACAGGACTACAGATATTTTTTTCAGCTTTGTTCATTTTTCTTTCCATAACTGCAACTTTAGGCAACGCCCTGATCCTGTTTGCACTTTGTAAAGTATCGTCCATCCATGCACCAACCAAGTTGTTATTTCGATGTTTGGCAGTCACTGATCTTTGTGTTGGTCTTACATGTGCACCTCTTCACGCTTATATTTTTTTAAGGGATTTTCGCGATGGTGACTACATCGAAGAACTTTATTACATCACGGATTTTTTCTTCGACATGTTGCTTGCGGTATCAGCTTTAACATCGGCTGCCATCAGTGTTGACAGACTTCTTGCTCTGTTGCTGCGCCTAAGATACAGACACGTTGTAACGTCATGCCGAGTTCGTTCCATTATAGCTTGTTTTTGGGTAATTGCTATTTTAAACGCCAGTTTTTGCAACGCTGCTGAGATTGGTTTTTTGGATATGACTGTGAGGCTTGCCTCGTACTGGGAATTTTTTGGCCTATTAGTATTTGCTATAGTCATTTCAACCTTCTCTTACATAAAGATTTTTTTCTCCATTCGCCACCAAAAAACCCAAGTGCACAGAGCTGTACAACCAAAACAATTAAGACAAGGAGAAAATCCGCTGAACATAGCACGATACAAGAAGACAGTGTATAGCGTAGCTTGGATACAGTTTGCTATCCTTGCATGTTATACTCCTTACATTATAATGACACTGATATGGTGGTTTCGAATAATAGACGATCCTACCGAGTTGCTTATATTGCAAATCACGGATATATTTTTCATTTGTCTCCTGTTTTTGAATTCATCTGTGAATCCGATACTTTATTGTTGGAGGATCAGAGATGTAAAAAAGGAAGTGATTCACGCTTTTCGCGAGTGTACTTGTTGTTGAGTTCGTCTACAAAGATGGAAAAAACTGCAGCAAACTATCTTTCTCTCTCTTGACTGCAACAAATAGCAACGTTTTATATCTGTTACAGGAGTATTCGCCACGTTAGAGACGAAAAGGGAACTGGGGCCCGTTTCTCGAAAGTCCCGGTAACTTTTCGGGCCCGAAATCAAATATTCAAATCGAAATATAAAGAATAAGAACGCAAGTCCTGGCAAGCAGACTACTCCATTTTGTTTCATTAACTGATAGTTTTATCATGTTAGATGCAAAACTATTGAAACTCCGATCTTCAATGTAAACGGAGACAGCTTACCGGGCCCGTTAATTATCGGGACTTTCGAGAAACAGGCCCCCGGACCCGAAATGCGCCCCGCAATTGTTTCTGGAACCGTTACTGAGGATGCGCCGGTCAGCTATTGGCTAAATTTTCCCGCCCCTAGTAACAGTCCCAGAAGTCTGCGAAAGGTAACTCGACCCAGTTTCTTTCTCAAAGTGGCGACTGGATGACAATTTATGGGAAAGCAGATGTCTTTTTTTTTTTTAAAAAATGTTATGTAGAGATAGCAGCTGGATTTTAGCAAAGAACGCAAATTTTGAGGAATAAGTCTTTGGGTGTTCCCAAAGACCTATAAGATAAAGGGTTTCGTCCATAAGCTAAAAAGCAAGCTACGCTTCATACCTCCATGAATTATTGACACTGCTAGAGAGAGGGTAAAATTCATGACGATCAAGATCTAGTTATACAAGCACAGCTACTTCCCCAATTCTGATTGGCCAAAAGCACACGCATAATTCACCATAACCAGTTACCAAATTTGGAAGAATTTTGTGTTTAAAGAGGAAATGACTTCAAAAATGCAGCCCGCTACAGGTTAAGGCAACGTTACCGAGAAGACCTGGGGACGAGGTTGAGTTGTTTCGGTTGTGAAAAAAAAAATGGCGGACATTTCACTCGTTTCAAGAGTAAGAACTACAGCTGGAACTAGGCGAAATGATAGCTAAAAACATGGCAAAAACAGCAAGAAGACAACTCGGACGGCGACATCCTCTATGTGGAGAATATTTGCGGAGCTGGACAAACCTAAACGAACGCTATCGAAGATTAACTTAACATCGATGAAGGTAAGCATGTTTTAGCTATGTTTTTAAACTAGGAATTATTTTGAATGAATAATAAAGCAATTAATGAACGCACGCTGTGACTGGTCCGCACCGAAGTGAATATCTTTTTTCATTTCACTTCCAAGCGACCGTTTTGTCCATGTAAAAGAGCATCGCGCCCAATCGTATAATTTTTTAGATATAAAGTTAAGACAGTTTTTCACCTCTGTTTCGGTGTAAGGTGTCATGAGATTAATGTGTGTCACGGTTTGTTTGGTCAGGCGAGGAACCTTATGAAAGTGTGCAACAACACAATAAAGGAACGCTGGATCGATTCAAGAAGATGATAAAAACAGGATCAAAGGTATCGATATACTCTCACTGTTGTCAATCAAATTATTATGAGTGGCTGAGACGCTAGTGGGGGTGGGGGGTCCCGTGTTGGAAAAGATGGGATGCGCATTGGAAATTCAGAATTAATCTCTAAATGATAATAATCTGGGCTTAGGTCAACTCAGTCATTAAATGTAAGAGTAAGAACCTGTATTTTTTCAAGAACCCAAAACAGATTCCTACATAAATGGTAATGACCACAAATTAAGGTAATTTATGTTCTTAAATAGGTTCTTATATTCTGAAGACAGAATACATTGCAGCCAAGAGTTTTTAGTGGTATTCAGCTAATCCATTATACAAAATCTGCATACCACTACATTGCAGTTGGAGTTATAAGGCATCCATGTCTCCAAAGAGGATCCTGAATGTTGACTTATCTTATTTTCCTGAGTGCATAAAAGTTTTTTTAGATTTTGTAAAAAAGGTAAAATAAGAATCTGTTTCAAATTTCAGACCAAACATTTTGTTGTATAGAGGGGGCCTAACTGGCAAACTTTAGTCTAACAGTTTCTTAAAAACCAGGTTATATCGATACGCCCACCTTAATTAAAAAGGTTGAATTAGCCAAAAATGTCGGAAAATAAATTCTTGCTTATTAGTTTCTACCAGAAACTCATAAGGGGTTGAATTCAACCCCTTATGAGTTTCTGTTTCTACTTTTACAATTTATTTGTTTAATTCTTTTTCCTTTTGTCCGTTATCTAGTCCTCTTCCATATTACGATTTTTATTTCATTTATTTGTAACTAACTGTAAACTTTCCTTAGTTAATAGCCTTAGCCTTTATTTCTTATATTTTGCACGTATTGTCCCGCCTTGAATAGCCTTGCTAGCTGCGGGCAATACTTTTGTAATTTTATTTGTTTATTAATAAAGTTTTGTTGCTTGTTGTTTTGTTCTTAACCGTGGGTTTTTATTGTATTTGTCTTGCAGAGCTCTTTACCCAAAAGGCTGTCTGATGTAACAGCGCCTCATGGATTTTCAAGATCCAACAGTTCGGGAGGCGGAGGTAAACTTTTGAGATAGGAGTAAAATACCTAGGTTATATCCTGTCCTGCGTAAATCCGTGGTTGAATTTTGCGTTTGGGAGCCGACAAGGTTTGGAGTATGTACCGCTGACTCATATACATTTCCTTTCTTTTCAGTGACTTTACGGCTGGATGAAATGGGTAGGATACATAGTTGCCTCTTACTTGACGTTGTTACGTAGAGTTTAACGCAATTTTAGGCAATTTTACTACATACAAACTGGTCTTAGAATTGTCTTTAACTTCAAAACTACTGCGTTGGATACGAAACAAAAAAATACAGAAGTGTCCAACTTTTGCATCTAGGAAGATCGAAGGAGACTCTGTTCGCAGGGTAGTCTGACTCCTATGCAGTTGTGTTCGTGTCATCACGCAACGCTCCTCCTTGTGTTACGTGACGACACAAAGAACGTTTGAGTCTACAAATGTGATGGGCCTGTTTCATCTTTAAAGGAGTGACTATTCAGAGGGCGTATAAGTAGCAAAGGTAGGCAAAATCTCTGGAAAAAAAGCATAGTGTGTCATAGTGCCAAAAACATTTTGGGCATAATCGGCATTTACATGACATTTACATGAAAAAGAAAAAGAAAAAGAAAAAGGACGTGATAGATAGGTTTGTCAAAAGCATAAACGCGAATTTTTTCTTTCTAAATTCGTGAGAGTGTCTTTAAAAAGTGATGGAAAATTGTTTTAGGAAAAGTTATGAGTCCATTTGTAGAGAGTCAGTTTGAGTCTAGCCTGAGGAAACAGCCGATATTCGCGAGGCCACTACTGGTCTTCCTGCGAAATGACGTCTGAGCAACGACTGCAGAAATAAGCCATTTCCGTGTTCCAAAAATCTCGCTTTCAAAACGAGGCTAAGTGCGAAACCTTTGTTGAGAAAATGAGTTTTATTTGCATCATAATTAAAAATCATTTTCGTATCAATGGCTTCGCACTTAGCCTCGCTTTAAAATGGAGGCTTGATGGAACTTGGAAATAGCTTATTCCATATCAGTGACTTGTCATTACCCGGATTTGGGCATTGCTTCTGATTGGTCGTGTCGCGAGAGAAATTTGCTTTAACCAATCAGAAGCACTACCAAGATCTGTGTTGTGAACGTCCGTATGGAATTTCTGCAGTCGTCGCTCGGACGTCATTTCGCGGGAAACCAGTGGTGACGTCGCGAAATATCGGCTGCTTTCTCAGGCTAGTTCAGTCGAGTCCCAATCACATTCCCAATGGCTTCACATACGAGTTCATGATAGTTTTCTTTTGTTTCTGCAGGATTCAAGAAACATGTATCACGTCCTAAAGGACCTCGAGCCTGTCCAAAACAATGGCCACAATTCAATTTATGATAAGAAAATGTTTGTGCTGTATGTACCTTTGGGAAAAACAGTTTTTTGAAAATACCGTATTTATTCGATTAACCGCCCTGGTCGCTTATTAAATTTTTGGACCTTGAGAGTGGGCGCTTATTCGAGGCTGGGCGCTTATTAAATTTTCACCATTTTCAGCAAGTGAAGTATGTTTATTCATTTTGCAACAAAACAATAAATGCTAATAACAAAACGCGAAGAAGTAACAAAGCAAGGTTTCTGTAAAATACTCTGAAGAAAACTCCGTCCTCGGAGAAGTCTCTTTTTAGAATTTATTCACTCACGTGGGTGGGGTGGGGGTGAGCGCTTATTTGAGTTTGATTGGGAGGAGGAGGAGGAGGGGCGCTTATTCGAGGCCGGGCGCTTATTAACTTTTTTTGCCTTTAGGATGGGCGCTTATTCGAATAAATACGGTAGCTCAAACAAAACTGATTAACACCGGTGTCTAACACCAATTAATAAACCGTTAAGTTCCAGAAGTGTGCAATCTATGTTAATAATTCATACGAAAGCAAATTCATCGGGGGTTTTGACTCAGAAAGAAAGAGAAAAACGAAAAAAACAACAACAAAACCAAAAACAGATTGAATTCTTTATATTTTTGGATTTGCTGGTTCTTTTACGTAACTCTTTGGCGTGACCAACGATCTATTTATCGATTGATGGCTCTTTTTTGTCATTGATTTTTTTGTTATTTTCAATATGGACCGTTACTTTCGCAACTTAATGGTTTATAAAATAGCTTGGTTTAAAAATCAATTCAATTTACTATTCGTATTTTTCTAGCTTAACCACCGGCCGTTTTATACAGAATTTGGTGGTTTGTGAGAACCATAATGGTCTGTAAAATGACCAATATTATGTTTTTTTTTTTACCTCATTTATCTACTAACACACGGCAAGAAAAATTATAATGGAGGAAATAGGAATTAATTGCTATAAATTTAGGGTCATGTTGAGCAGTTCATAATTTGAATACGTCCAACAATAGTATTTTAAATTCAGGTTAAACAGATGCATACATTCGCTTGATTAAGGACCTGTTTACAAGGGGGTGAGGTCCCCAGATAGGTGAGGTAACATGTGGCGGGTCACCCCATCTATACATGCAATC